CCCTTTGAAGAGGGATGGATGAAGCAACCAATTTTCATTTCTCATGGTTTCAGCTTCCCTATTTACATTAATTTTCAATTTTTTAAAAAAACAAAATGTTAAAATGAACAGTCATACTGCTTTAGCTGTGCAATTCCCCTAAAATATGCATTTTGGAAGCTCTCTTCCTTATATGATCTTTATCTTTAATTTTACAGCTTGAGACTTCTGGGATGTGAAATCTAAAAGGTAACATTTCTGAGCTCTGGCTGGACTGCACTTTCTCTATGATGGGCACATTTTTGTCCCTTTTTTTCCTTCAGTGCATCTGCATTACAAAATTCAAAATAATAGGAAAACCGAATTACATCTGCATTCTTGTTTACGTATCAATTTGCAGTTTTAACAAATTGTTTTTGAAACGCAAGCATAACTAAATTCTTCTGTGACTCTTTTGGTGTTATCTGCTGCCAAGCCGGTGTTTCTCTACCAATGAAAAAAATTAAAAACTAGAAAAGGTAAATAACTTCACAGTTTCCTTTCAAGTAAACATGCAAAGGCCTGGAGATTTACTAAGACATACAGGTTTTGTGACAGAATCATCTTTAAAGAATTAGGAAAGTCCATATCTTTTCATTTTTCCAGGGGCACATGCTTCTGCTTCCATGATGCCTTAGAACTGAAAGGCTACATGTTCTGCTTGGGTGCTTGTTGTATATCGTTTTCATAAGGGCTTATTTAAAAATCTCACTTAGATGGCTTCTGATTTTTTACGAAATCTGTAGCCCAGTTAATCAGGGTACCTTGATGACATGGGTCAAAACCATTCTAACTGAGGAATTAATGCATGTAATAAATTAAAATCCCACCTGTAATGTCAGTTAGCAAAATGACCATCATAGTAGAAGAAATTTGCAAAAAAGGGAAAAAATCAAAAAGAAAAAAGAAGGAAGGTTTCATAAACAAAATACAGGTTTTGCACAAAAGTTTGTATTTTGCTCGAAACATATGACTTCTGAGAAAAAAAATACTTTTTGTGTGCAAAACACATCTTATTCTCTGCAAAATTCAATTCTGCAATTCCCCCATTAAAAAATTTCTTCAAGTACAAAAAATCTTGAAGAAGTATCCTGCATGGATAACATTTTTTTGAAACGTTCTTTCTTGACTCAGATCACAAGCACAGACTTCAAGTAATATTAGGTAATATAAAATTAGGCAGTAGCTTGCCTATAGACATATATAAAATACAGTGGTGCCTCACTTAGCGACGTTAATCCGTTCCGGAAAAAAAGTCGCTAAGGGATTTCACCGCTAAGCGAAAAGAAAAAGCCCATAGAAATGCATTAAAATGCGTTTAATGCGTTGCGTTCCTCTGAAAAACTGACCTTAAGCACAGATTCTCCATAGCGGCGGCCATTTAGGGTGCCTCTAAAGTAAGGCAAAACAGCGCATGGCCATTTTGTTTACCCGGTGGCCATTTTGGAACCGCCAATCAGCTGTCCGAAAATGGGGGCTTTGCAGCGATCGCTTCCCCGCGATCGTCGCAAAGTGATTTTTCCCCATAGGGGCCATCGCTACGCGATCGCTCTGGCGATGGCCGAAACCCCATCGCAAAGTGATTTCATTGCTCACCAGAGCAATCGCTAAGCGAGGCACCACTGTACTGCCTGGTTGATAAAAATAAAATTTAACTGCTTAGATAAATGTGGCAGTTTTTGGCCTACAAGTGAAGGTCTACCGCAGGCTTGTCCAACCTGCGGCCCGCGGGCCACATGCGACCCAGGTTGGCTCGTAATGTGGCCCAGTGCAGTTTTTTACTTTTTAAGAATTTCCAAAATTTCAAGTTACACTGCTGGCGCTTGCGGCCAGAATGTGGCCGGAGCACGTCACAATTGTAGGGGGGGGGGTAGAGGGAAGGAAGGGAAGAGCAGGAGGGGAGGGGAGAGGGGGCCTGCGTGACTGCATTGCACTGTCCCCATCAATAGGTGGACCCCCTCCCGGCCCCATAAAGCCGCCGGAGTCGAAGCTGGCAGCCTCTGCTGTCTGAGATCACAGCTGCTGATAAGCGCACTTGGAGCAGGGCTGCAGAGGATGGCTAGGGCTATCCCCTCCCCCCATGCAGCCCAAACCAAATTTATGTGCAGCCCAAACCAAATTTTCATCTTCTAATGTGGCCCAGGGGAGGTGAAAGTTTGGACACTCCTGGTCTACAGTCTTACATCTGACACATACACTCAGATCCAGACCACTAATAATGCTTGTCGGGGGCAGGGGGAGAGAAATGGTCTGGCATGGTATGGCACAACTTCTTACATTCAAACAGGCTTCCTTAATTGAAGGCCTTGCCTGTGTAAGAGGGTTTTTTTCAACTGTTTCTCATATGCCACTTCTTTAAACTGAGCCTTTCTCAACCGTCTGGCAGGCTGTTTGCTTAATAATCCATTTTTTTCCCTCTCCACAAGCTTCAGAAAAACCATAACGGACCCTCTCAAGGTGTCCGCAACCTGTGACACAACAACTCCTTCGGCCCTATAAATGGCGGGAGGTTTATGTCTTCACTCCATCCTGCCATCTCCTGAGAGACCATCCAGGCATCCGACTCTCCATCGTGTCATCTTCTGAGAATCTGCCTCATCTTTCAGCCATGAAGGTCTTGGGCTTCCTTTTCGCTGTTCTCTTCATGGTGGCGATGGCTACTCCCGGTAAGTGGTAGAGAGCCCGGCTGGTTACCATATTCCTGGATTCTGCACATTTTTCAAAATCCGTGCTGCACAGTTTAGAAGATTTATTTTAAATTACAAATATAATTTATTATATACTATACCCAATGAATAAATAAAATAAATATCTTTAATTATAAATATAAGGTTCTGATTAATATTCTCATTAAATGAGACAAACCAGGGAAACTCACCTTGAGTCTTGTGTCCAGTTCTGGACTCCATACTTCAAGAAGGATGGTGACGAATTGGAACAGGTTCAGAGGAGTTTAATACATATATAAAAAGCCTATTTTTTATTTTCTCCTCCTCTCTTTTTCCATCTTGGACTCTCTGATTAATTCAGAATTTACATTTAGTTTATTTTTACGCTTTATGTAAACTGCCCAGAGAACATACATACATACATACATACATACATACATACATACATACATACATACATACATACATACATACATACATACATACATACATACATACATACATACATACATACATACATACATACAGGCACCTCCAAAATGCCATGTCTCACATCCTCCTTATGGTCCATCAGACCTGGAAGCCCACAAATCATCTTTGAGCAATTTTCAGTAGTTGCTCTTCCCCCCCCAAACCATTATTTTAATTCATATATGGACACACTTCAGTATGCTTCAAGGATGTAGAAACTTTGGCATTTGAAGGAACAAGTGGCCCGTAAAATTCCCTCCAACACTGATGCTCAGTGGTCCCCTTGACACCAGCCCACTCTCTGAGAAGGAGTGACATTGGCAAGGAGGGTGGCTCATGGGCATAAGAATAATGATGCCATCTTTCATTAGTTCTAGCACTTCGGCCACCAAGGACTGCTGCAGAATGTGACAGAGCGGGTGGCAAATGCAGGTTTCTACGTTGCCCAAGACGTCTGATCGCCATTGGGAAGTGCGATAGAAGAGGCGGAGTTTGCTGTAAGAAACGGTAAGAATTCTAAGAAAATGTTGTCTGGTTTTCAGAATTTTTTTACTTTGTCTGGGATTTGTCTGACCCTTCTAAGAAACAATGTGTGTGGAGTTCACAAGCTTATAAAGAACATGGACTTTGGACATGGCTCAGTTCATAAGGGACGTGTTGGCGCTGCGAGTTAAACCACAGAAGTCTCTGTGCTGCAAGGTCAGGAGGCCAACCATCATAAGATTGAATCCACGCGACGGAGTTAGCTCCCGTTGCTTGTCCCAACTCCTGTCAACCGAGCCCTTCGAAAGCATGTAAAAATGTGAGTAGATAAATAGGTATCACCATAGTGGGAAGGTAACGGCGTTGCGTGTCTAGTTGCACTTGCCACGTGAACACATAAAACTGTCTTCGGACAAACTCTGGCTCTATGGCTTGGAGATGAGGATGAGCACCGCCCCCTAGAGTTGGGCACGACTGGACTAAATGTCAAGGGGAACCTTTACCTTTACAGCTCACAAGGATCAAGCCATTGTAAAATGCATGAGAATAGCTGTGCTTTTCTCCCTCTCTAGACATGGCATTTTATTAGGGCTTTACTAATTGTTCCACTTAAAATGTTTAGGAGATGGCCTCTGTAATGAATTGGAGGATCCTGGGAGTTGTAGTCATATAAAGATGGAGTCTGTTAGGTTCTGTGTGAGATGAGTTAAAAGCAATGGAATGTGTGAGACGGTTTTTGCAGAGATAAGAAGCAAGGCCGAAAGTGCCAAGAAGGAAAAAAGACCAAACAAGAAGCAAGATAAGGCACCTGTGGATCTCATGTGGATTATGGGTAGAGAGTTGTGTTAAGCTTTCCTGCAGTTAATTGGATGACAGGTAGAAAGTGTCAAGAAGAAGGCGGTCTTAGACATGTAGAAAAAGGGTGTTTGTGTATGTGAAATG